CCAAGAGGGCCTTGAAATGGGTTCCTGCTACCAGAAGATAGAAGCTTCTAATGCCTCTGATGAAAGCTACGAAACACCAATTTTTATGTTACCAGCTTAACCAGAAACAAAGCAAGGATATTCAGTGGTATTTGAGTTTAGATAAACCATGAAAAACAAAGAAAAAAAGCTCTAAATCTTGTAAGTAAATGAAATTAGATTCATTCTCATGAAGACAATTCTGTTACCAAGTTTCACCGGTTTTTTTTTTCAATTTATAATGTACATTCGAACTGTTGTTTGGTGTGAAAAATTGAGTTTCATGTAATCTTTATGTTATTTAATAGTATACATGTGTATTTTAATTTTTTTGTAAATACAAGAAATAATCATATTGTAGTAAAATGTATGCCACATTTTCGACATGCAATGTTCCTTTTACTAACCCTATGTTAAGCCTTAGCTTCCATTGTACTATTGATGCCAAATTTTTTTTCATATGGATACGGCTATGCTGTATTTATTTGCTTTCTTTTTTACTTTTGATTGTTTATAGATTTTTAGGGATTTATAATCTTGACCCTGTTCGTGTTAGATATAACGTCAAGAAGATGAAATTAAAACTTTTAATAATTTTAATACAGGAAAAAATTAGAATTTCTGGGGAACGAATATAAATGGTCATCTAATTGTAAAGAAAATGCAATTTTTCTGTATATACCGGTATTCATATATCGCGTATATTTTTTTAAATAAATAAACTAGAGACACTGTGAGCAATGAGCTCACTAAATGATATCCCCGCCTCCTATATGGTTATAATGGCAAAGTCCGTGTTTTGCTCTGGGTAGGGGTGTGCAATATTACCGGTATATCGGTATATTGCGGTATTATCCACCACGATAATATATCGCGATGTGAAAATCAGATACCGGTATTTCACGATATTTATAAAAATATATAAAAACCTCCTTTATTGTAGAAACTGTTAAAATAAAACTGGAAACTTTTAAGTCTTTTTCTTTCTCGTTGGAAGAATTCTTCGTCAGTTTCGTTCGGGAGAGAGAGAGAGAGGAGAGAGAGAGGGGGTGGAAGCTTTTAATTCACTGTTGCAGTTTTGAATATCTTACTTTGAAATAAAAGTACTAATTAATAAGACTTTAAAATAAAATTTATAAGGAAGAAAATATATATTAAACATTTTTACAGAGGCGGTTCTCAAAATCTCACATTGAATCTACACGATCGACATCGCGGTGAAATGTCAAGTTAAATTACAAGTAAATGGTCACCCATGTTTTCACTTGTAGCAGTGTTGTTTTAATTATTTTTAATAACTCTCATGCCATTTTAAACACCTTATGCTATAGCAGGAGCATGTATATATTAAAACAGGCCATTTCCTGATTGTACGTCTTGATGTGAAATTAGGTCGGGTTAGACTAAATTACCAAAACGCACGAAAACAGGTCACAATTTCTTTCTGGTTTTTTAAATTTTATTTTGTAACCACACGAAATTTATTTCCATATAGGCCTAATCTGTATATTGTTTTATTCTTTAATAACATTTTATGCTACTTCATTAACCCCCCCCCCCCAAAAAAAAAGAATTCAATGAAAAAAGATTATAAAATCTGTAAAAAAAATTATTTCAATGTGAAAATTCTCCAAGAGAGTTTATCTTGTTTTACTATTTTACCCGGAATTTGATTAAAAGTAAAGTGCTAATTTGGTGTGCAATCAATGTCTTATCCCTCCTCCCGCTTTTAAACTTAAAGATAAATTCAAATAGTCTTTGAACTTGATAGCATTTCAAAAATTCTGCTCAAATTTATTAATGATAATTAATCTACAATATATTGCAATATATTGCAATATTCAAAGTAAAATATTGCAATATATCGCAATATGGATTTCCTTCGCAATACCCAACTCTAGCTCTGGGAGGCCTATAAATTAAATGTCAGATCAAAATTTTAAATAGAAGGTTCCAATGGTATTATGTAATAAAGAATCTGTGAAAGTATCATTAATATACATGTAATTGTTTTTTGGTATAGGAGGAGTTGCGGATAAGAGATGGGCAACCTTCAATATGATATATAAAATGAAATGCCGTGTCCATGTTTTTCTCTTGAGAAAAAGCAAAATATGTGTCTTATTATATATTAGAATAGAAGGTGCATAATGTCACTATGTAACAAAGATTCTGTTAATATAGAGTTAATAAAACCGTGAAACAATGACTATTGATTATACAAATTTCAAAACTTTTTATACCTTTCTGCGTATTTCACACTTGCAATTGTAATTCATATAATAACTCTGTATCATTATTCTTGTTTTATTCATGAAAAAGGAACCAAACATAATTACTACAAAGTATTCTCTTGCAATAGCGGTCCATTTGGAGCATGGACAACCCATACAAGTTTCATTATGAATATACAATGCTTACGTTGTACATCCTTATCTCGCAGCAATTTAACCGAATCACAAATAAAAGTTATAAGTTCATTTTCACAAATAGGTTTACTAAATATCATAATAGATTTATAGTAGTTGTATCACAATTATATTGTTGTTTTCTTTTCAACTTGGGCCACACAACAAACCCTAAAAAGTTGACAAACGCCTGGGCGCTGTCTCCTATGCTCTGCAGGTACATTAAGCCATCGTCAGCCTTGTCAAAGAAAGGTTTGTAATTAGATCCTTCATGGCCAACAAAGATAAAGTATCTGACGGTTCCCCACAGTCTTGTGAGGTACATATAGAGGAAAATCCATAATAAGCCAAACTCCTCTTCTTCGTGATTTTCTTGATTTATGGAATATCTGTTTGCATCCTCTGACGATATTGATTGGTAGGATGAACTGGAATTGGACTTACTTAAAAGTTTTTCTTTCTGTAAAATAAGTCTTTCAATAATATTCAAATGAAATTTCATACATTCATTTTTGGAACAAAAAATGACTATTTTCATGTATATTTTTGTTTTGTTTTTATGTTTCATGCATGATACCATCACTTAAAGAATTGTAATTAAAATTGTTTTTAATAAGGCAGGGAGTGACAATTACCTTATGAATACGGCATTTTTGAAATTTTAACAGCATGTAGAAAGCGAAAGTAACGCAGTAAGTGGTTACTTCCCAGCCCTTCCCCGTTATGGCCATCCAGACGGAAGAGGTTGATAGGCTGAGGTTACAGTCCTTGATCCAGCACCAGGGGCCACTACTGGCCGACAGACCTTCTCCCAACACATCGTAGTGTAAGGAAACACTAGCTATGGTGACTGTAGAGACACAATTATTTCATTTTAGTTAATTAATACACAGAACACATATATTTTAAAAGTAAATTTATATACATGTACGTGTATAAAAATTGCGCAATGCCTTGATCAGTCGCAAGATTGTCAACAACACAACCTAAACAACCAAATATCGCCATCTTGACCTCTCTATATAAACAAACACGTATTTAGGAAGTATTCCTCATTTATACTTATTTATTCATTGAACTTTATCTCGCTATCTATGTAATTTGTTTTTATCGCATAAGTACATAAATGTCCCCAGTATTTCTTTTGTTAAATACTCTAGGATATATAACCGGTATAAATAAAGTTTAAACGTGTAGTATCTTTATCTGGCTTATTTTACAACACGTATAAATTACTGTAAAAGTAAATTTTCTCTTTCATAAAATTCAAAATTTCTCACCAGGGCATATCCATCCACATAAATGACAGACAACTTGTACCGGAATTTTTTCCAGATACCGGCTACCTCCGTGGTGGAGGAAGTGATTAAGAGCGATGAACACAGTCCACCAGAACGAGGCTAGACTAGCAAAGACGGTAATAAAACTCTGACTGACACAAAGATTATCTGAATCACAGTTGTCGTCATTAGTGAGCACCGGATCAACAACAGAATACCGAATAACTCCGAGCAGATTCCCAAAAGCGTTGAAGAAATCTGCAATTGTTAGAAACACCAGCAGACGAAAATTGAAGCTCCTCTCATTGCTTTTATAGTAACTGAGAAATATGAAGACGGAGCCCAATAACGACAAGGAACTACTCACGCCTGTCAGAATCAGAAAGGGGACATAATTAATGGTATCATTCTTCTGGATCCCTTGTTCCTCTAAATATGCCCCATTAAATGTTGACATAGTTTACCTCTAATTTCCTACCTAGTATCGTTATCATCCCTGGATGATAACATTGTTTCTTCGTAAGATTTACAATTCATGATTAGATCTAAATTTAATACATACCTAATAAAATTGGAAAAACCCTTGACGATTCAGACTCCCCCTTCTCTCTCTCTCTCTCTCTCTCTCTCTCTCTCTCTCTCTTACCCGACTTTCCTTAATTAAGAGGAATGGGTCATACAACAGTAGTAGTATAAGGGGTCTGGCCGGGGGGTTCAACTGAGTGCACTTTTTGGGGCTGAGGGGATAGGTGGGTCAACAGAGTGCAGCCCCTGTGGGGGATAAGTGGGTCAATTCAGTACATATAATCCCCCTAAATACTGGGGGTGTTTACACTATGTTTACATTGGTACGCTGCTACTACGATTCACAACGCTGCTACTACGATTTTGGCAAATACTCAAGAATTTGATTATGACGTCACTCATTCACAGTGATTTACCGAAAATGAAAAAACAATAACACACAATAGGAACAAGAACACAGCAATTTTATTCAAGTGAAAAAATACATCAATTTACTTTTTCTTCTTCTGTGCCTTATCGGTCATCAGGGATAGTTTCCTCTTGTGAGTAGTGCTGGGTCCTGGATTCTCTCTGTTTTCTTCCTTTTTTTTTCTCTTTTTTGTCTCCTTCTTTCACTAGAGGTTTGGTCTGGTGGGTCCCTGAGATCTTGGGTTCCTGAGGCTTTTTCTCCAGTTTTTGTACTTCTTTGACGAATTGTTGATCCTCCTCATCCTCTGTACACTTATTAGCCCAATGGCCAAATTTCCCGCACTTGTAGCACAAATCTTTCTTGGGGCAATCTGGGGCCCAATGCCCTAACTCTTTGCAGATGTAGCATGGATCCGTCTGTCTAGTTTTCTTTTTTCTCCCGATTCCCCTTGTCCTTCTTTTTTCTGGTAAGTGCTTC